GGGGGGGGGGGGGGGGGGGGGGGGGGGGGGGGGGGGGGGGGGGGGGGGGGGGGGGGGGGGGGCGGCGGAGGCAATTGGGAGAGATACCAATCACCGGCGGGAAGAGACGAGTTCAGCGCGATCGCTGCTTGTCCTTTCCTGTTTGTCGGTATGCGCAAGGGGTGGTGGCCCTTTTTAGAGTTTTCGTTTTTTTGCCCCCGCCACCTGTCGTTCTGGTTTGGCTCTCGACCTGACTCCTTTGGTGTCGTTCGCCGCGGATTGCCCTTGCTGGGGGGGCATGCTGATTGAACTGTGATAGTAATGATGAATGCGCGCCGTGCGGCCCGGTGCCCCGGGCACTTGCTCGCGGCCTACTGGACTCACGAACCGCTCGCTGCACGCGTCGCGTTTTGGGCCGGCTTGCGTTGCGCTTGGCGTTCATTCTCGTGTGCACTAGTCGCTGCATTCGCCGCAAGTTAATTCATGTTTGTGCTTCTAATGTTCGGCCTGTGCTTTAAGTAGGTTGTTTTTCTCTCCTCCCTGTTACGAAACGTGCCTGGTCTGGTTACTCTTTGAGAACATTTGGCTGTTGTGTTCTCCCTCCGTGTTTTTGTGTTTTTTCGTTTTGTTTTTGGGACGCCCAGCGGCGAATATGGATAGCAGGTTCGGTTATCCGCCTGTACAAAGAGGCGCTATTATATGTACGGGGCCGGCCGTCAAAACTGTTTGCCTCGAGACGGTCAAGGTTCCGACTTTTTTTTTGTGTACCCAAGAGCGTGGTAACTCTTCGGTTACTTGAAGCTTGCCTCCAACACGACGGAGAAATTCGCCGCGGCTTGTCTTTGGCGTGTTTGGGTTGCGGCTTCCGGACTTTTTATCAGGCATCGATTCCGAAGATATCCGTTGGACGTCCTTCCCGAGTAGACAGGAGCGCTTGTTTCCGCGCCATTCCGGGCGTTGGTAGCGCTTGTTGTACGTACGTGCGAACCTCGAACATTGTGCGAATGGCACTGTGTATTTGTTCCTCCCAAGTTTCAAATTCTGCGTGTTTCTTGATGGAACCAAGCATGCCTGCATGCCTGCCTTTCGTTTTGGCGGCACTTCTGTACTTTGCGCTGAACTAGGGCAGCGAGGTGGATGTTATTCGGAAGCGTTGTCGATGGCTCTTGCTGCTGCGGAACCGGAACGGACGGTACGGGTGGATCATTTGTTGTCTACCAGGCAGTAGCGGCGCCCTCACGGTTTTCCCGGATCGCCGTTGGTGTGTGCTTCTCTTACGGAGGCTGTTCTGCACTCGAACGTGATGGCACCGATGTCTTTAGTAAGATTTATTATCGATGTATCGCCAAGCATGTGGGATTCCATGGTTGATTTTTGGTCACTCTCTCGCTATAGATACGTTCGAGTGAAAAAAAGTATGAATAGTTAACCGATGTGTTTTCATGTGTTGCAGTTTCTCGCGCCGGTCATCGCGAGCCTTGTAAGAGGACAGTGTCGGAACGTGAATCGAAACGTGGACGAAGGTGCTTCCTCTCGCGATACCAAATGTGGGTGCCCAACATGGTTATTGCACTTACACTCCTCCTGCTGTCGCAGGAGGAGCGTGGAAGGTAGAGAGGATCCATCCCTGAAGCTCGAATGATGCCTATGATTTCTCCACGAAACACCGACAACAAACTCAAGGAAAAGTCGCAGTCCTCGCGTGTTCATGTATAGAAAAGCGGACACGGGCATGTAGGATTCAACATATAACTGAGATGAATTATCTCCCTTGCTTTCACAACACTAGTGCTGGAAATGCTCGCTTGTAGAGAGACCAGCAGCAGTAGCAGCTCTGCGACTGTGTGGAAGCCCTGTTAGGGCCACAGCCCTACACATGTGGTACATACAAGGTTGCTCTTTGGTGGTGGGTAATAGCTTGGTGATGCCAACGTACGCGGAGGGTCCTAGAGAGGACTTGTCCCGCCAAGAGTGCCGATTTGTTTTGTCAGCCGGTCAGCGCTATCAACAAAGCATCAACAATTGGAGCACCTGATGTCAGGGGAACGCGGAGTACAGCACACCTGTTCTTCTAGCATCTTGAACTAATAGTCGGTCGGTTGGTCTTAATATCAGTTGGTGCGTGGAAGGATATACCCAAATCCATGCGTGTTGGTTCAAGACCGAACGATAAAACTAACTCGCCCCACACTTTTCCAATACATCGATTTACCCGTGCTGTTAGATACATCTATCTACAACTCCACCGTGGGTATCACTTAAGGCACACCCTGACGCGTGAGCGAGTACATCGGAGCTTACAATAGACGGGGAGCTGCCGAACTTGGACAGAAAATTTCCGTAGGCGGCGTCGCAGCGGCACTTCCACCACACACACACGTCCGTCTCGCACAAGCAAGACAACACAAGGAACAGAACAACAGCATCCACACCGGGCAATATTCCGTCTCGCACCAACTCAGAGCTCCAACAAGCACCGAATATGTACATAGTTCATGGTATGCACACACACACCACAAGCACAAACATCAAAACGAAGAAAAAACGCGTTCGCGTCATGTATAGTAGTGTATCCTCACAACGATCGCCAAAGGCAAAGCCGCCGATCCCACGCGCAGGTGGCCATCAAACGCGGCTCGAACAACGAGAACGCCACCCCCGCGACAAACTCCGTGTGGCCCACACATCGGTCTAGCAGCCGCGGGGACCTCCGCCCGTGCCCCCCCCCACCCCTCCCCTCCCCCGCCAGAGGAAACATCCCGGTCCCCGCAGGAGGAGGAGTTATCTTCGTGTCCCACAAGATCACGGACGTGTCGTACGAGGCGGTGGCGAGGACGCCGGATTGGTGCGGCGAAAATCGTAGTCTTTTCACGGCGTACCGGTGCTCCAGCATGACAGACAACGGCACCCTGCTTTTCCGAGGTGAACAGGGGGCGGGCGGGAGGAGGGGCAGTGGTCAACGCCGCCGGGGCCGGGCGGGGGGGGGGAACGAGATCAGTCAAGCGTCCCAAAATCTTGCAGCAGCATGTGGATCTCAAAGTTCACAAATGGACATGGTCCAAGTGTGACGGAAAAACCTGTGTCGATTCGCATGCTGGCACGAGCGCACGCACCTGTTCAATACGCTTCGCGCTGTATGTGACAAGCCTCAAGAAGCGTTTTGACTTTTCAACGGGGCGGTATGTTGCCGCACCAGACCCATTTCATGTAGGGCATCGGCCTTTGTGGGCGCCGGCAGCACGATTTGCGGTGCGGCGACGTGCAGGCACAGCATAGCAGTGGAAGCGTTGCCGCTACCGTGCACCAAGAAGAGACCAACCCTACTGCATAAGGAGGCGGCACGCAACAGGACCTGCGCACCACACGGGCGAGAGCCGAAACATCGCGTCACGGCAGCATGGACGAAGAAATCGCTATTGATAGTCGAGGGCACGACAAGAGGCATCGTCGCAAGACCCACCACGGGTTGGCGCGAACGGACGGGAGAGGATGTCTTGCGCAAAGAAGGGCAGAACTTCGCCGGGCATTTCGCCGGGCCAATCCAAAGGTGATATGAAACCAAACAACAAGCAGCGAGGTGCGTGTGCACGTAGAACCCGGCTCCCACCGCCGCCGCCAGCACCGCGACAGGAGGAGCACCTGCAGCAGTGGCCTGCGCCCGCTGGTGCTCCTCGCGGGCGCAAGACACGCGCGCGCACACACACACACATCTAAAAGTGTTTTGTGTTTTCAACCGCACTGAGGCTGATGTCTTTTCATTGGTTGGTCAACCGGATAGCGCGGTCGACGCTATCAATAAAAAAGATAAGATGGACACACACACCTCGGTTGACGGAGGTCCCACGTCCTCACCGCCCGGTCGGCGCAACCCGTGGCGACCACTGGTTGGTTGTACTTGTCCCAGTCCCCCGCTAGGACCTCCGCGCCCCCGTGTCCGTCCAGCTGTGAACGACCGACATCGACACCGTAAACAGACCCAAGCGCATCCAATTAGATACCAGACGCATTGCCTCTTGGGTGTGTCCGACTTTTCTGAGCGGGCGCGCCGTCTAGCGGGCTCGAGATGGCAAGGCCTGCTTACAGGGCTGAATGCCTTGACAGTTGTCGTCTTGAGGCCGGGTCAAAAGACGTCAACTACGTGGGCTTGACCCTGCTTAGCTTAACTCACTCGAGGCGACTTCCTCTTGATGTGAAAGTGTGACCAGCAACATACCGCTGAAGCGAGGAAAGTGCTTCTTCTCACCACAGTCACAGCACCGGGGCTGCTGACATCGAGCACCCTCGCAGTCCCATCCCCGGAGAAAGAGAGCAGCTGGCCAGGGCTAAACGGGCTCCAAATAGCACCTGCGAGCGCGCGACGTGTGTGTGTGTGTGTGTTTGTGTGTGTGTTTGTGTGTGTCTTTTCTACTAGCATCGACCGCTCCGTTCCAGCCACACTGTTGTTTTCAGCAAGTATCGTAGTCTGCCTCACCGTAAACGGGGTGCCGCCCGTGATCTCGAAAAGTATGCGACGACACTCCCGCGCTTGGTGTCCACAGTTTCACGCTGCCGTCCCAAGAAGCTGACGCGAACAAGTCCTTCGAAACCAGATTCCAGTCCACGCCCGACACCTCTGACATGGAGGACCAAGCGGGGTCAAACCGTCTTGGGCGTCTAAACCAAAAATCGTGTGCTTTGGGGTCAAACCGCGTGGGGCGCCTAAACAAAAACAGTGCGCTTTTGGGGTCATTGGGGTCAAACCACGTGGGGCGTCTAGATAGGAAATCGCGTACTTTGAGGGCCAAATAGTGTTGGGTGTCTCAACAGAAAATAGTGTGCTGTTGAGGTCAGACCGTGTTGCAGGCGTCTGAACTAAACATTGTGTGCTTTGGATAGGTTGTACTTCGTGGTAGATAATAGCGCTGCGTGATCCACACGAGGGCACGGGGGGGAAACGTGGGGAAACGTGGCGGGTGAGCTACAATCGTCCAGAGCGTCGTGAAGCACACCTCTACTAAGAAAATACATCGAGCAGTTATTGTTCGGCAAACCTCAAAGAGGGAGAGAGAGAGAGAGAGAGAGAGAGAGAAGTTCCCGCAGGAATCTGGTTGGCCCAGTTCTTTTATTACTCAAGTGCAATAAATACCTTGCGTGTGCTCTCTCCAGTCAGCCACCGGGAACCCGTCCACAGCTCCTAGGTCCCAAAGTTTAACTTGGCCATCTATTACAGAGCAAATTAGAGCAGCGAACAAAACAAAATTCCAGCAGTGACGTCATTTCAACCACGATGCCTGCTCAACACGGGAGGTTCGTGGTGTTGACAAGCACGATGACCACTACACACCACTAGTCAGCCTGACTAGTGGTGAGTGGTCATCGTGCTTTTCAACACGTGGAAAACACTAGGTATTCAGCCTCCCGGAGAGCAGCAGTGCTCACACAACTACAAGTAGTGCGCGCTCTTGTACACTTGAGGCCCGCCATTAAGAAACTTGACACAGAAGAAAATGAGGCCAAACGTTTCACCAAAAAAACAAGATAAATCGACTGAGAAGCACACCTCAGCCGTGGATCCTACACTGAAACTCTTTGTAATGATGTAATGACCTATCCATGTTCGACGGTGGTGACGAACAACAAATGAGCCTCGATCCCAAATTGACGTTTCTTCTATGTGGGCCGCAACCGTAGTGAGTACCCTGCAAGAACGATTCATTGCGGTGCGGCAGGTGGAACGCTTTTACCCAGTGCTCAACTCAAAGGAGGTAATACAGGACGCCTGCGCTGGAGTTTCATATCGGTCCTGGAACCAGAAAGAAGAACGCTGCAGTAGTACAATGCAGTCCGGCCTAGGAAACGGCGTGAGGAAATCCTAAGGCACAAGACATGTACGGCGGGCAAAAGCATAAGCAATGCTTTCCCACGCCAACTTTGTTGGGCGTCTGAGGCTTGCTGCTGGTGCTGAGGTAGTGTTTCAAAAAACGGTATGCATATCATTGAAGAGCCAGTAAGCGCTGACAAGGGAGGAGGCAACCGTGCGTGCTTGGAGGGGGTAGCAACAACGGGTGTATCACGCCGCCGCCGTACGCCACTATACAGTAGTTTCAAAATATGCCGTCAGCCGCACACACCTGCCCCCGCGGTGGCCATCTGGTGGGGATGGCACTCGCTCCACGCGCAGTCGAAAAGCCCGGCCTGCGTGTCGAAGCTCCGCAGCTACTGCGCAAGGCAACGAGGCGTGGCAGCAGCTTGGCGATGTAACCCTTACGGGGAGAAAAAAACGCGCGGGCTGTCGCTTGAAAATATTTCTGAGCACGTGGTGCTGTCGATTTTGGAGTCGTGGACGCCCGAAGCCCCTATACCGTTACTCCTGGTGATGAAGCCAGCCGAATGCCGCTGCTTTTGCCCCCCCCCGTCCACTTCTCGGCGCCCTCGGAGTGGACTAAACACATGGACCGCCGTCGCGACGACAGTAAGCGTGACATGCATGAGGATGAATAGAGAGATACCCCATACCCTAACCCCTCCAATCTAGACTTAAGTGGGTTGGCGCTGTTGGCAAAGCGCTGTAAAACACGCCACCCCAAATATAGCCCCCGTAGTATGCGCTACCAAGGACGCGTGACGCATGGACGAGTGGAGTGAGGATAGCTGTTTACGGAAGCCTCACAGGTTGAGTGATGTAGGAGATTGCCGGACACAGACGTGTTGAGTGATTATAGCTGTATACTGAAACCTCAAGGGTTGAGTAAGTTTTGAGATTGCCAGACACATGGATGGGTTGAGTGGGGATAGCTGCATACTGAAACCCCACGGGTTGAGTGATGTTGGATAGTGCCGGACACATAGACGCGTTGAGTGAGGATAGACACATACTGAACCTCACAGGTGATTTGTGATGGAGATTGCCGGACACACAGACGCTTTCAGTGAGGATCGCTGCATACTGAAATCTCACAAATGCATTGGTTTTTGAGTTTGCCAGACACATAGACGCGTTGAGTGAGGATAGACACATACTGAACCTCACAGGTGATTTGTGATGGAGATTGCCGGACACACAGACGCTTTCAGTGAGGATCGCTGCATACTGAAATCTCACAAATGCATTGGTTTTTGAGTTTGCCAGACACATAGACGCGTTGAGTGGGGATAGCTGCACACTGGAACCTCACAGATGGATTGGTTTTTGAAATTGCCAGACACATGGACGCGGTGAGTGGGGATAGCTACATACTGAAACCTCACGAGTTGAGTGATGTTGGATACTGCCAGACACATAGACGCGTTGAGTGGGGATAGCTGCACACTGGAACCTCACAGATGGATTGGTTTTTGAAATTGCCAGACACATGGACGCGGTGAGTGGGGATAGCTACATACTGAAACCTCACGAGTTGAGTGATGTTGGATACTGCCAGACACATAGACGCTTTGGGTGAGGATAGCCACATACTGAGACCTCACAGGTTGAGTGACGTTTGCGATTGCCGGAAACACAGACGCATTGAGTGAAGAAAGCTGCATACTGAAACCTCACAGGTTGATTTGTATTGGAGATTGCCGGACACATAGACGTGTTGAGTGAGGATAGCTGCATACTGAAAGCTCACAGATGGATTGGTTTTTGAGTTTGCCAGACACATAGACGCGCTGCGTGGGGATAGCTACATACTGAAACCTCACGAGTTGAGTGATGTTGGATAGTGCCGGACACATAGACGCTTTGAGTGAGGAAAGACACATACTGAAACCTCACAGGTTGATTTGTATTGGAGATTGCCGGACACGTAGACGCGTGGAGTGACGATAGCTGTGTACTGAAAATCCACAGTAGCTATAGTGAGGGGACAATTCGAGAATCCAGTACACATAGACCCGACCCCCAACCCGTACCCGAACCCCCCGTGAAAAATAGAGGCCATGCGCGCCCCCCCCCCTCTACCTCCCCCAGAGGATGAGGAGGGTACAGTCCAA